TTTTTTTTACACTTTTACCATTACTTTAGGGCTTCCTTCTTTTATGTATAAATACCCTTTTTCTGGGATTTTCGTCAAGTCACCTTATAACACTGTTTTTGAGTTTATTTTCTGGGTTTGTAAGACAAATTTCTTGCTTTATTTAAGATAATTTTGTATTTTCCATTAATCTCTCTCTCTAATCTCTTTTTTAATATTGATTAACATCTTTTCCTCTTGTGATTTGGTGTTAAACATGAGTATTAGTGAGTAGTTTGCTTAGGGTTCTTAGATGTGGTAGATTAAGGAGATTTAGGGATTGATTAAGGTTTATTTAGTGTTTAATTACATGGGCATTATTAATCTGTTTTTAAGCTAGATTTGCCTTGATCAAACTTGTCTAGGATTTAGGCTTTCTCTTATGCCCACCAAGTGTTTGATGAAATGCTGATCTTGTTTGATAGAGTATTTGCTGGTCTTGGCTCAAGAGATTGACTGTTTCAGGAGCATTTTGACATGAATATATTTATTGTTATTGCTTGCTAGATGTTTTAGCATTAATGAGAGTTGGTTCTTGTTAAGGTGTTTAGCAAAGGGCTATTTTACAAGAGATTGGACTTAGCTTGCTTGTTTGTGAACTCTATGTCTAGGAACCACCATTGCTAGCTCATTTGGTTGATCAATGCTGATTGAAACAACCTTAGTTAGTCTCTAGATTCCCCAAAGTCAATAACCACATCTAGGAACTTGCTTTCTCTTTTATTGAATTTCGAATTTGCTTAGTACTCTGTTTATTTTGCTCTGTTTTACTTCTTGATCATTACTAAACTGTCTTCTTTTGAATTCTCTTTGGTGATTGATCATTCTAGGTTGTTAGATAAGTTGCTTAGGCAACAAAAACTCTTCTTTGCTTTGCTTGACTTAAGGAGTCCTACTCACAACTCTTCTGCTTTCAACAAAACCCATTTGGATTGACATAAAGCCCTTGCTGTACTACAATTGATTTACATAGAGGGGTGATTGACAAAGAGCAGTAAAAACCTCTTATCAGCTTTTCATGCAGACTACTGATAACGAATTTTTATATCAAGTTAATGAGAGAGTGATGCAATGCAACATGAGGTTATCAAAACTCAAGCATCACTTAGTTGTAGTACAATGCAAGAGGAGTCAATCTAATCCTAGGAGCTAGAAAGTTCAATGAGAATGCAAGGATCATGCAAAGCTAAGCAAATAATGAACGGTTTTGTGAAAATCCTAAAAACTAGATGCAACAGTCAAATGCAAAGCAAGACTATTTTAAAAATACTAGAAGTGAACTAGCTACCACGAGGAAAAGACAAAATGATTAAAATGCAAGGCTATGAATTACTAAAATTTGACTAGTGAATCGACCACGAGATCGACCACTAGATCGAGCAAAAGCAATCGATCTCGTCTAAAAGTTCAAATGCAACGAAACTAATGACCAGGATGCAACAGATGATAAGCGAATGATTAACAGAGATGTAAGAATACAAAGAAAGAGGGTATAGGGTTGAGATTCATATTCAAGGGTCTTAAAGGCTCAAGCTTGGTTTGAAAACTCTAGATCTACTCACTTTGTGAGATTCTCTAAGCCTTGAAAACAAAACAAGATCCATCCGTGGCTTTCGGTATGGATCACTCCTTCATTCTCTCCTCCAGACCCATGGCGTTTGGCGGAAGAAGAGATTGAAAGGCAAGGAAACCAGATTTCAAACATGCGGCTTAACTAGTCCTCTAAACTACCATGGCGTTTGGGGAAGAGTAACTAGTCTCTAGGATGCGATTTTCAGAGATCTCTGGATCCTGTCAAGGTAAGAGGTTTCTCTGATCATAAAGATCTTGGCGTGAGATTCTTTAAGCCTTAAGAACTCGACATCTTAGAAGAGAAAGCCATGAAGAACAAGAAAACACCAAACTTGAAAACTTTTTCGACCCCTTTGAATCCTCTCAACCCCAAAACCCAATGAAACTACTCGCGACTCACGAAATAAACCATACGAAATGCAATAAACGAAGAACTAAACATGAAAAGCGATTGATTTAACTTAAACGATTCAATATTCAAAAGTAAAAGAAAGAAAAAGCTCAAAGTCTAACAATGGTGAATTGCCTAAAAACAAGAGAGATGATAAAAAGTAGTCGACAAAACGGGATAATGAAAGAGATCGTTGGTCTTTGCCTAAAATGGCCAAACCGCAAATGGTCCCCCCCTTCGCTACGGTCCAAAAACAGGCTGGACGGATAAGGTTGGTCTGGGATCGATCACGAAGCTCGATCTGGCAATCGATCACGTCCTGAATCGGGCGGCTCTTAGTCGATCTCCGAGTCGATCTTGTGCTGATCGGGTTGGAAGCTCGATCCGGTGGTCGATCTGCATGGCGTCGTCTACGTCCGTACTCCAAATCGATCTCCATACTCGATCTTCTGGTCGATCTCGTCTGGATCGATCTGCCTTGCTCGATCTGCTACTCAATCTTAGGTCTTTAGCGTGCAATCCTGATTTCTCCAAGTGTCCACAAACTTCCTCACGAGCCTCAGCACGTCCACGAACCCTCCAAGACTCCAAAGTAGCCGAAAACAACCTGTATGCGATGCAAAATGCAAGAAATATGCAAATGCTGGTGCAAGAACACTCTAGGACCTAAAGTGATGCAAACTAACCTAAAATGCAATGTATATGCGTGAGAAACTAACTTATATGTATGCAAAATGCATGGAATATGCAGCTATATCAACTCCCCTAAACTTACATTTTGCTTGCCCTCAAGCAAACAAAATTAAAGAAGGGAGAGAGGTTTTAAAACAAACAGGGGTTTAAGCTCTTGCAAAGGTGTCTTTCAAATGAATCAATTTCAACGTCCTAGTTACTAGTTCTAAAATGCAATACACACACTCATACTCCAAAGGATTTAGCCATACTCATCACACAAAGAATTTCAAATCATGACTCTCCTATTCCAAACAATCAAAGAAACTCATCCTTTAACATTCATTAATGACCGAACCATGAATCAAACTTATGCACTTTAAAGCAAAACACATTTGGCTAAGGGTAAAGACTATGAGCATAGAATGATCTCATTTTAAAGAGGGTTTATTTTAAGCAAAGGGTTTCTCTCGAAAATGGTAAGAACTTTATGCATAATGCTAAAGGTAAAGGCAATTGATGCATACATAATCAGATTCTCATCTACCCATGCAAGCTAACAATGATCATAAAACCCTTCTCATTTTTTTTTCTTTTAAGCTCACTCACCCTCCTAAAATCTACCCTTATCTCCAAAGCAAAAGCTTAGCAAAACCCAAATAAAAATAGAAAACATCTTAACTCTTTTAGGCTAGTGAAAAAGTTTGAAAATATTAAGCTCCTTATTTTTCTTATTGATGGCTCTCTTATTATTTTTTTTCTTTCTTTTTATTTTTGGCACTTAGACTCTTTTATTTATTTATTTTTTTTTTCTTTTTAATTTGAGAGAGCCAACTTCTGAATTTATTGGAGCATTATACATTTTAAACATAAAACCTTTCACTTAAACCTTTTTATTCACTTCAAATACCAAATTCTTTTCAAACCGAAAGCATAATAATATGAAAGCAACCCCCATGATCCCCCAAACTTATCCTTAGCCTACATCTAGCTTCAAAATGCAAAGCTAGCAATCATATGAGAACCTAATCATGTCGCCTAAACGTAACACGTTATACTAAGTTCAAACTGAAAGAGGCCTCACAATGATGTCACACACGAAAACTTGGCTTCAAAGAAAGGTAAGGGTCAAGGTGGGAGTTCTACTTAGGCTCACAAAGAGTGGTAAAAGGAGGAAGAGAGCCTAAACATTTTAAAATCCATGTGTTCATTTTCAAATGCATAAGGATGATATTAGCTTAGGACTTTCGTTTGGAATGGTTATGCATGTATGAGATGTATATCGTGGATCCCTAGAACCCGTCCTCACTGAGTATTGTTGGAATACTCATCCCTCTTTCTTCTGCAGGTGAGCGCGTAGACATTCAGAAGTAGTCTCGTGGCTCGATGATGGTTTTGGGAAGATGCGGGTTTTATTTTACTATTTGTTATTTATTTTAAAAACGTTATTTAAATTCGGATTTATTGGTTAAGTTAAAATGGACTTTTTAAGACGTTTTGAATACGATCCTTGGGAATAAAAATAGCACTGAACTAGCAAATAGTTTCTTGTGATGAAAATTAATGCATTTTAACATGCCGTTTTGGTTTTGAAAGTGGCGGGTGTTACAGTTGGGTTCTTCATGAAATCTTCAGGGTTAAAAACAGATAAAAAAAGAATCAATGTAAAGCAAACAAGACTAGGCGATATTTCTTAAAACTAAAGTCATTGGTTTAATAATCTAAATATTTCATATATTGATTGTCTATGTGTTAAGAACTCCGTAGATATCCTTTTGTATTCTAGCACGCAATCAAACATACAATACCGGTTCGAGTTTGTTACAACGCTCACAACACTCTGTAGGTATAAATTATTATCCCACGATGCGTGACTTGGCTAAGATGAATCTGGTGAATAGATTCAATAGGTTAACTTTTCTAAACAATTCTAAGATCAGTATATAATTCATAATGCTAGATCCATGCTTTAAGAACAAATTTAGACAAAAGAAATCTTTGGAATACGGCTAAACATGCGATAAGCCACTTATCTAAAACCGTTATGAGATCTATTAAACAGAGAAAATCAATGGATGCCCTCGTACTCGAAACTTGACTAATCTACTCTCTATTAGTATTAATCACAAAATCAAACATACACTAACCTACTCTCGTAGTATTAGCCATAAAATCTATCTTAGATTATTACACTCCCGTTTACTCTCTAAGCATCTAAACAACTTAATTCGACAAGTTCAAGAAGACAAAATCAATCTATCTAGCAACCTTGTAAGCAATCCATGAATCCTCTTCGGAAAACCCTTAAACCCAACAAACGAATCTACCATAACATTATTGGGGCGAGCTGAGACGTAAGAGATGAATTCATACTTGAATTAAACAAATAAAATTAAGAGGGTTCGAGAAAATATTACAAGCTACGTTATCAAACTACAATGAACATTCAATCTTTAAAGAAATAATTTTCTATAGTCATTATATATTGGACCAACACTTGCCTAGTTTAGAAAAGGCTTTTGGAACTTCCCATGGACCCAAACTCGGTACATGTTCTTACCCTTTCTCCGGTTTATTGCTTTTACACAACAATATTCAAGCTCAACCTGCACGCACACGACATCAAAATATAATAAATTCGCTATTCCTTTCTACTGTTTTCTTGCTACTTATACAACTATATAGGCGATTGCATTATAGAACTAGAGAATTTTGTGCAATAATAACAGTATTTTATTACTTTTTGACACTTTTTGGATATATCAACCATTTTTAATAACATACGTACACAACCACCTAATGTAGGTACACAACCATATATTGTACGTATGCATTTCTAATTTACAGAACGTACACGACCAAACAGTAACTATATCTCCAAAAGTGTTATTAGCACAATTGGATATCAAAAATTGTAAGAAAATTCTATAAAGATCCCAAAAAGTGTTATTCTGCACAAAATTCTCATAGAATGAACATGTGAATAAATTGAATACCTGAAAAAAGCAATAAATCAATCATAACAAAGAAAAAGAAGAAGGTTTACCTCAATGAATCCAGCATTGATAAATAGGCTCCGGACAGTGTCGAGACAAAAGAAATACGAAAGGGTTCCATCAGACCGCACGTATTCCCTAAAACCGATAAGTTTTTCTGGCTCAAACCGCAGCATAGTCATGTCATATAAGCCTGGATTTTAAGTTCAAAGTGTTTAAACCTATTAGTTTGGATAGCATATGTAACGGTGACCTTTCATGCTGATTCAATAATTAATTACCATAATCTCTGAACAAAATTAGACCACCAGGTTTCAGCACAGTAAAGCATTCTTTGATAGCATTCGGCATCCTTTCTTTAGGCACTGCCGATAATGTAAAAATCTGACATAACATAACAAACCGAGTTACAATGAGCTATGTTTGCGTACATCTGTGGTGTATTCAATCAAGGATTTGGAATGATATGTATTAACATGACAAAACTTGTTTTATTCAAACATGAATCTGAAAAAGATCTCGAAAATGCAATGTTATTGCACTGGTGATTTAGAAATGTAACTTTAAAACTTTTGTTACTGGAAATATTTTAAGCACTAGATTATAGTTGATTTTTACTGACTTCAATGTGTTTTGGTGAAGTTTGTTAGTGAAAAATAAAAAGATCCAAATCTCATGTTTTACGTGAAAGTGCAGAGAATTGTAATAAAAAAAATCATAGCAATTTACCTAATTCACTACAAATCATCTAAAAACTCATAAAAATTCAAATCATTTCAAATTATAGAGTGAATAGAAAGAGATATTTTGGCAAAAAAATTTGGTCACTAGATTAATAACAACCATTCGATGACCACCGAGTCTAGTTTTACTGCAGAGATACAGCATTATGCGTATTGTTTTATCTTAACTAAATGAGGGGTGTTAACATACCAGAGTGACAAAATCCACCCCTCCGATGCACTTTTCATTCATTGAACATTCATACCTCACGTGCACGCCTTCACTCTCTCCTATTTATGAAGAAAAGCTTAAGAACTACAAGTTGTGTATGAGATATCAATGTGAATATTGTGTAGAAGGACTATAACCTCTATGGTAGCAATCTTGCTTAAGCAGAAAGTTGTCTCGACAACAATCACAGGCCATCCAATTCGGGAACTCAGACGTTGTAAAGTCACAATAGAAAGAATGGTAGTTATCAACTGTAGCAATAGATCGATCAATGTTCTCTTTGGTTCGAATAAGAGCTTCGCTGCTATAATCGCAAGCGTATACCGTAATGTTCTTGCTTCCACTGCACAACAAACAAAGATATACATAATGTATTAGTTAAGGAATTACCTCATACAAAACACATAGAGAACCTAGATATGTGATAATAGCATCAAGAAAAGAGAAACCGCAAGCGAAGAACGAGACGAGTTACCATAAAATCGGAAGAACTGTACTTCCGTTACCACAACCTACTTCCAAGAGTTTAGAGTTCTCTCCACAAGAAACCAATTCTGGAAATTCCTTCAACAAATACCTTCTTTCCTACAAGCATTTTGCATAAACACGGATAAGTCAAGACAAAGAATGAATCATTCTGTTCAAAATCTAAGATCAACTTACTAACATGTATTGAATTATAGAGCTGCTTTAGCTTAGTTTAGGGAGTTCGTATGAAATATCCCATCCATAACGAATAACACAAACTTTGCATAATTCCTCTCGATCACATTTATGAGTGTTCATCGAATTTCTCGTCTCTTTGTATCTTCTTTTGATTCGACTAATTGTGAAATCTATCCCTAATTTGCATTAAAATCGACACTGGAAGCTTCGATTGTGCATCAATCTTCTACAAATCACAGAAAGTTTCTTCAACTGTAATTTTTTCTGCTCACATTTATGACTTTTCTTCAAAATTCTCGTCTCTTTTTCCTCTTATTTTGATTCGAATAATTGTGAAATCTAGCCCTAAGTTACATTCCAATCAACATCGGAAGCTTCAACTGTGCATCATTCTTCTCCAAATTAGAATATGTTTCTACATATATAACCTTTCTTCAACTATAATTGATATTGCTGATTTCAAATCGATAAAAACAAAAACCTAGAGGATATTCGGAATCAGAACAGCATCAAAGATTTAGCTTTGAAAAGGCACATATGAGTTTGATCGGTGATTTTAGTGTTGTGTGTACCTTGAAGAATTTTCCGGAGAAGTGACGAGAGTGGAAATCTTGCCACGGCTTCGAATCTGGTGAAGCAGAGGAGAAATCTCGATGTTGGAGATGGTGGGAGAGAGAAGGATCGTTGTCGACCAATTCTTTTACAAATTCCCATTCGAAATCCTTGGAATGATACTCTCCTGCTTCCACTCTTTTCTCCATCTTTGAATGGGATCAAAATCTGAGATAACTTTCAGTATTCCTTATAGCAAGAAGTTCTCAAATAAGCTTTCACTATTATAATTTTATTTAAGATTTTCTTTTAATGGATTAATATAATAAAATTACTATTTTCTTCTTGTTTAAATCGATTTCATTTTTGTTTTTCTCTTTTGATTGGAATCTCTTTCGATTAAAATCCCTAATTCATTCCTTTTCAAATTAACGATCCTATCTCTGAAATCTATCAACTTTGATTTTCCGACCAGTTCCGCCAACTGATTTTTCGATCTCATGACACCTCGTACGAGAGGAGAAGGGAAGTTCGGTTGAGAACGCCCACACCCTCGCCAGATCCTCCACTGTCGCCGCCGTCAAGTTCAAACTGGTTTCACCGTCGCAATCAACACCGGTAAACCCTATGAAACCATGGCTAGTATAACTAGGTCCAACTAGTCAGACTAGTATGAATAGTTCAACTAGTTTATGTACTCCGACTAGTATATGTAGTTCAACTAGAACAGTTAGTATAACTAGTATAATTAGACTCAAAAAGACAGTGCTGTCGCAGCCGAGCCTGCTTTTGGTGAGAAATGGTTCGCTTTTTACACTTTTTTTACTCTTTTAGTTATCTCACTAAGAATTTGATTATAATTATTAGTCTGATTTTCATTGATTTTTTTTCTCTCCAGAGAGAAAAGTCTACAAATCCAGTGTGAAAGTCTTTACAACTAAGAGGTTGATCAAAAAGTGTATGAAGTCAAGATATCCAAGAACTCCAAAAACTCCAAGGCCTAAGAGAAATCTAAAATCTTCACATCTGTTGCAGTCCCTTTATGTTCCAAAATGATAACTTATTTTCTTTGTTTTATGTATTTTTAGACTTATATGAATTTAGACTTATTATGAATTTAAGTATTTAAACTTATTATAAATTTAAGTATTTAGACTTATTATGAATTCAAATATTTTCAGATTTAATATGCTTATATATATTTAATATCGCAAGTACAACTAGTATTACTACGTCCAACTACCATGTAAAATACTTAAAATTATTGCTAGCAAATTTAAATAAAAAAACATGCACCGACAGAGTGTAAAACATTAAAAACGTGCTTAAAAAAATTGAATCTTTAACACTGAGTTGTACCAAGGAACCAGTTGTACTTTAATTGTAAAGAGTTGTAAAGAGTTGTACTTTGGCCCTAAAAATTTGTAATTGGTGGTACCATTCTCTAAACAAAATTTCTTTAGTTGTACTTACAAAATTAAGTATATAAACTACATTCCACATATTCCTATATAATTAAATGTGTATATATACTTTGCTAGTTTGTTTTCTATGTTAGTGTGGTTAAGATTGTGAAAGTAACCTTAGAAGTGTAAGGTAGATTATGGAAAGATAACATCTTCATCAAATCAAATTATGAAATTTGTATTTAGTTCACTAACATATTTGTGGAAATATGTTTGCAATGTTTTAATGGCCTATTTAACATGAGAATATATATATATATATAAGCATTTTCATAAATGTATTTAAAAGTTACACTAGTTGTACCAGTTGAACTAAAATTTAGTTGTACTATTATCATTCAAGATAATAGGAAGACCTTATAGGTTCGACTATCAACAGAAGGTAACTCAACACAAGCTTTGTCGTCGCCTCATCTACCATAATCTTACTCCTTATTCTATTAACTTACCGACAATAAGTTATCTCCTCTAACTTTCCTCTCATAACTAGAGTAGAAACACCACGTTATTTCATATTCCATCGTACATCATCGCCATGATCAAAATGTATGACGAAACAATCCATTATTCTTTGTAAAAGAACAATAAACGACATCAGCATGCAATAGTTGTACCAGTCTTACCATTTATGTACACATATTTATAGTAGTTGTACCCGTTAAACCACTTATACAACCTATACAAGTTGTACCAATTATACTAGTTATCCGGTTAGATTATATGTATCAGTTGTACTAGTTATGCTTTATTCGCGGAGGGATCCAGAAAATGTTCGCTGGGGTGAATTTTTTTTTTTAAAATTAATGAAATAATTCATTAAGGGTAAAATAAAAAATTTCATATTAGGAAGGTTATGAGAGATTAGTAAAGGTCAGTTTTGATTTGCCTTCCTGTACGGAAGGTCTTTTGAGATTTTGATCCTCTTTGAATGTCTCTCCTCCCTCTCCTCCCTCTCTCTGGGTTTTATCTCTTTAGTCTTTTGAGCAACACGGACTGGTTTATTTCTTACAATGTTTTGACTCGGACCGGTCAAACAACCAGATTTTTGCAATCGAGGCAGGCACGCGAACAATTAACCAATCGATCAAATAAGTATGTAACTAAGTGAGGAATTCGAACAAGCAAACATTCAATCATATAAAGTAAGGAATCAGGCAAATATACACATATTCAATTATTATGTAGATGGAGAATCAAACAAATATATTCATACGAAAAAAAGACTTATTGGTCCACCACCATTATCTCTACCGACGAAGATTGTCACACTGAGATAACCACTCCTTTAAAATTTACAGGCTTATACCGTTGCACTATGATCTGTTTGGATTGAAAGTATTTGTTCGGCAGTGCTCCGAGAACTTTGCTGATCCTATACTGTCTTCCAGGTAGAGTGTCATGGTGTAAGATCCAATGAGAGGCTCACTCGGATTCAAACACGTCAGATATGCTAAAACTTAAACAGCAGAATGATGGAGATTACACAAGCAAGCTTTAGACTCTCTTTTGTGAAATTGGTGAAATGGAAGTGAAATGGAAGTGAAACGTGAGATGGGATCGAACAAGCTGGCCTGAGACTCTCTCTTGTTGGATCAGTTGATGGAAGTGATGGGGGAACGATGGCACCACATAGAATATGATGAGTTCTATAATACAGCAAGAACACTCTTTTTATGGAGCTACATTAACATAAACACAAGAGCAAAGTTTAGAAGAATAATTTCTGGTTTTTATTTCTTTTATAAATTCAATGGTATTATATAGAGCTCGACCTAAAACAATAAATTAAAGAAAGCAAATCAATTTTAAATACAAATAAATCAGTATAAATAATGGAACAATCAAAGGCTTGATGGATATGGCCTTGAATGATGGATTGTTGGCTAAATGAGCAAATTTTGAAGGTGCCTTGTATCTGGACAACTTGGGCATGAAGTGATGACGCTTTGGAACATTTTGTACCAAGAAAATAGTCTCCAAACAGGCTGGGTCGAATAAATCAAACATATATAATCTTTGGACTATATTTGATGTAATTGGCTCCATATATGGCAAGTTTAGTTGTGGAGTGATTCGAATGATCCTCTGCTTTCTGGTGCATGGTGGGGCGTCATTGATAACTTCTAAGTGAGTCTCCTGGTTGCCACACATAAGTTTGATAAGTGCTAAACCAATCATGAATAGAACTTGCCCGGAATAGAATCAAATTGATCCGTTTTGGAAGATGGGGTATAACTTGAGAATCCGATGGATATTTCTATTGATCTTGGGCTTGTTGGAACAAGGAGAGACCCATTAATAATCTCCAAGTGGTTGAACGTCAATATCCAAGAGATGTCAGTTTGACCCGTTGCCCGCGGGCCAGGCCCAAGTAGAACATATGCGGGGGGGGGGGGGGGGGGCTTGGGCTTCGTAAATGTTGTCTGCCAGTTAGCAGACCTAGCGGGCCTGATCCGTGCGGATTGCGGGTTAAGCGGGCAAAACCCGCTACGGATCACGGGTCATGCATACAAAATCAAAATTCTTCCCATCGAGAGTTCATCATCTTAGATTCTCAAATTTCTTCAGCGATTCAGCTATGAAGCTGTATTTTTCTTTAATTCTGCCATTGTTGATCTCGATAGACTATTATTTCCTATTGATTTCTCTTAGATTCAGCCATATGAAGATGATATGATGATCGATTGGAAATTAGAGTATTTAGAGATCACCGTCGAATCTGGGTCCGTAATCCTCAACACCCGCGAAAACTGCAATCTTTCCTCCTCGTCTCCTATTGAGTGTTTACTTATTCACGAGGTAAAATCACTAGGTCTAGATCCAAGTTTATAGGTTTACATATTAAGAATCATCTTGTAAGAATCTTGGATTCTTGTTTGAAGATTGACATTGATGAGTAAGCTGCGGAAGATTTTGGCTTACTCATTAGTTTGACTTCGATGTTGAGTTTTAAACATGCAGGTATAAATTGGCTTACTTATAAATGAGCAGATGCGTAAGTATTGGAAGGAGAATGGTGCAAAGAAGTTCTCACAGACTCACAGTATATCGAGCTGATTTATTTGAAGGAGAATGGTGCAGATAAGTTTATCGTTGATCAGAAATAGAGTAAAAAAGGAGCGAGTGTCCTCTATTTCAACGAGATTCAGGTAACTTGTATACTTGAAGTTCCATAATAAACTACATTGTCGTTGACTATGCGAAAATAATAGTGTTGATTGATTCTTTCTGTAACTTGGCATTTTTCTGCATCTTCTATTTGCTAGCGTTAACTATGAAAAATTCATCTTGTAAGAATCTTGTTTGAAATTGACTTCGATGAGTTAGTTGTGGGAGATTGAAAGAAGTCGCTTAATCATAACTTATGAGTTTTAATTCGATGTTAATTTTCAAAGCCATCAGTTACATTAAAATTCTTGCATTGTCTTATTAAAATTCTTGCATTGTCTTGACATTAAAATTCTTGTCGATCAGGAATGAAGGCAGCGTGTGAGCTTGCTGCTTGTATGTTAGACTTTGCAGGAACTTTGGTTAGAGTAAGTAAAGATTAGCATTTACTTCTTGGATACAGAGATTTTCCTAATATTGTTTGTACATCGGTTAATGTTGCAGGTTCTTTTATTTCCATCAAGTTGCAGGTTTTTAAATAGTCCATTTGCTTTAGAAGTGACAGTGAGATGCTCCACCTTTATCTTTAAAAACTCTTTATCTCTTTCTGCATGTTCATGTTAACAAGAACACAATATACTCTAATACGAACACACGTGTTATTATTGCCATTTATTACTTCCTTTTGTTTGTATGGACAATTTGATGTTTACAATTTTGTATCTCT